AAAGCAAAGCAGTTTTCGCAGGACTTAAACATCTCGGGGTTACAGGACAGGGAGCCACACAACAAATTATCCTCAGAGGCTCCTGCAGATCTGCAGCTCCTGACAGTGGGGGCATTAGCAAAGCAAATATTTCACAGCCAACAGAGCAGGCTAAGAGACAGTTTCTTTACCTAAAGCCACAATGATGGATATGAAAGGTCTGGGAGAGCTCTGGCAGTGCTGCCTGATCCCTCTGCCCTCCACAAGCAAGCGCCCGCGGGATGCTCGTAACCAGCTCGGTACTGGTCGTACTGGTCAATGCCCCCCAGGGCTGATGCACACAGGGTCACGATGCCTGGAGCATTTGCTCCTCGCCAGTTAAGGCTCTGCCCTCCTCGCCACGGCGTGAGCGGAATCCTCGGGGACTGGCACTAACCTTTGCTGCCTCCCATCAAAGCTCGTGACGCTCTGCACAAGGATCTCAGAACTACGTGAGCCAGGTATAAAAACGTCACAGTGGCCACAGGAGAATTGCTCAGGTGCTCTAGAGAATGCTCGCTTTAAAGCAACAAAAAGTCAGCCTGCACCCTCTAAAGCCTCCTGGCCTCCTGTGCAAGGGGCACAGGGGGGCTCAGCACCCCACAGACCAACCAGGGAGCATCTGGTGCTCACTAGAGGAGCAAAGGACTCCTCAAGTCCATCGCAGCTACAGAGGTGTGTGGCCCCCTGAGCTCTGCCATTTATCTGCTGTTCACTGGGGGATTATGTGCTGTTATTTCTAGCAGGATGCTGCTGTGTTACGTACTGTACAAAACCAGAGTGAAATCAGCCCCCTGTGGCAGACTTAACCACCGAAGTAACTATGGAGGAGCTGAGAGCAGCAGTGTTTCTGAGGCAAGGAAATGTGCAGGATTGGAGGATGCTTATGGAAGATGAATTTTGGATTTGCAATGTCCTGGCCAGGTATCTCACTAGGGAGGTGCTGTTTTATCCATCAGGGAGCAGACCCGCATCGCGTGACCTCAGCGCCTCATCAAACTGTTTTACGTGATTAGCACAAACGAGTGATAGATCATTAGCTGAAGACAGCATCGGAAAGTAAAGAAAAATATGTCTCAGTAAGGTGTGTCTGCAGGTGGGGAAGAAGGAATGAGAGGAGGGGGAGCACCTGCTCTCGGGGGTCTGGCTCCTCTGCACCCACCAGCACCCATCGCTGCCTCCTGCACCCTGGGCACTCAGGGCTTACAGCTCCGCATTCGGGAAGAGACCCACTGGGCCATAATTTCTCTTCACTGATGCAGAGAAATTCCTTCAACAAGCTCTGCAAGTATTTTGATCACACCGTTTTAAATTCCATGTTTATAGCCCCTGATTAGGTGGTGACATCTTTTGGAGACGGCAGTCCCTGCCCTGGCGCCTGCCATGTGTTTGATCGAGCCTCCGCTCAACCCCCAGATTAAAAATAACAAAATTTGTTCTTCTACCAAGAGCTGCAAAAATCTTTGGCCTCAATTCTGCTGATGCTTACATAATCTCCGTGCTGAAGTGTGCCCACCACCTCTCACAGGGCGAGCTCGCGACTGCTGAAGGTGTACGTGGGAGCCAAGTCAAACCTGCTGCAGGGGAAACCAGAGCCGCGACAGCCTGCACCGGCACCGAGAGCAGCCTTGGAGTCGTCAAATTGCTCTCGTCCTACAGGGCTTATTTATGAAATACACTGAGTTTTCACATATTAAAAAATCCTCCCATCTCCCTGACGCGCTGACAATTAATGCTTCAGGACTGAATTATAAAGCCACTTTTTTCAACATAACCAGCGCTTTTCCTGTAAGGCTCAGTCTTTCCCTCTGAAAGCAAGAAATCAGAGACTTTCGGCGCATGCAGGGGTGGCTGGTGTGGGCTCCATGATAGCCTCAACGTTAAAATGGGAAGGTTTTTAACCTGGGGGCTCTTGGTGGCCCCCTGACATTTGTCCCCGGTGTTGCCCTGCGTTGCCATTAACCTCTATTTTGGTCAGAGGGGATGGCGCAAATCT